AAAGGCCGGTAACGCATTTGTAACGCCTCTGGTGTTCCAGGTGTCCATGGGCGACGCCAATTGCTTACCATCAGGTGATCCGTCTGCTTGTTTACCGGCTTATGCCATAAAAAAAGGGAGGTCTTTGCCCTGCAGTGGGAGAACCATGGCTAAAAATAAATAAAAATATTTTTCTTGTAGATCCATTTTCTTCTAAAACTCTTTTATTTTTACGACGAATAGCCCGCTCACAGGTATTTCACACCAAAACCTATGAGAAACCCTTAGTCTAGGAAAACACGCAGATTTAAAAACCCGCCATTCCATTTAAGTATAAGAATGAGAAATGTCATTATGATTGGTCAAGCAGCTTACTCATAAAAGCCACACAAACGAATAAACTCAGAATTAGCAAGAAGTGTGGATGAAGGGAGGTCTATGTTCAGCAGTAGAATCTTTTGCGTGACGGCTTGATGTGATAATCATGACGATAAAAGAAAAAACTTAATTGGTGATCCATGTCTTTCATCCTTACTTTATTAAATTTTTCATAAAGTACCAAATACTTAGATTAAACCGCAATAGAAAAAAAAACAAATATCGATATATACTACAACTTACGATAATCTGTGTTAAATGTTAGTCACGGCTTCGGCAAGTCTAATGATTGATAAACTATATTTACATTTTTAAACCAACAGATATAAATCTATTAAGATTACGTTAATGACAAATATTTAATTATACATGTAATGTATCTAGTAATCTTTGCAAACAATGTAACTATGCGGTAAATTCCTTACGAAATATGATAAATTATGTGAATCCCTCAACATGAGCACATTGCGCTTAGAGATTTCTTAAATCAGGCGATGAACGCCTCAGTGAGTTATTGAACCTTTACATAGATATAATATTATATTGTAGTTACATTATCAATATCAGATTGTACTAGACTGTCTTTCTGTTGGACAAAGACAAAGACTCTTCTCTTAAAAAGAAGGAATGAATATTGATGACAACGGTGGGTCGATGAACTCAGACTTAAGACAATTTTAATACAACATGTCCAGATTTCCTCATGATATTTTCCTACAGAAAGTCAGTAGTTCCTAAGCAGATTCGAAAATTACATGACATTACTAGGAAAAGTCACATTCGTATTTGCCTCGAAATGAGGATAGACAGAACTTTACATTAAAACATCGTTTTCCACGTCCATAGAATACATGAGAAATACGAGAGTGCATTTTCTATGCTTATTTATTTAGTTACAGCTTTCATTTATTTACATTGTTGAATTTAAATGTAGATAATTTTAGTTCAGGGTATCAAGAACGATCATTTACCTTATTAGGACTGATTTTGACAATTTTGCCGCACTCAAAACTGTCAAATGTCAATTATTTTTCTACAGTTAACAATTAACTGATGATTGTAAAATCGGCTCTTAGTTGGAGAAAGGCTAGGAAGAAAGCTAATCTGTCATATTATAACTTAAACATAGAATATATTTTTGTTACTGCTAATCAATCCAAAGATCATGGCCGCCCATTGCGATCTTACTTTTTTAAATCTTTATTTCTTTTTTTAAGGTGTATATATTTAATAACTTTTATTATACCTCTATTATACATAGTCTTGACCAAAATAATTGCCAGCCATTATTAATGCAAGCTAATAAAAATGTCTTAACATTACGAAACAAGACTAAGTACACTAAGAGTGAATAGTATTAGCTCTCAGTCTAGTCTCAATAACCTGAAATGTAGAAATATCGGTTCTTCTAACTCGAGAGATAACTCGAGAAGACGAAACGTAGTCAATATGAAGATAAACTACGTATATTTGTTTCGCAACAATAGTGCAATTTATTTAAAACGATCAAAACACTGATATAAATGATCCTTTTTTGTTACTTTTGATCGTCAATCGTTCGTAAGCTGTACAGTAACAGACTTTATTAGAACCGTAAAACGGGGTGAATAGAATTCGAGAGGTGAATAGATACAGATATGGGGTGGAATTAGAATATTTTCCGAACATTTATTCACCCCTCTTCTGTATCTATTCACCCCGTTTTACTGAACTATACACTGGTTTCATACATTTCTGTTTTGTATGAGAACTTTAAGTTTAAACAAATGAAATCAAATTATTTATTAGTAAAAACTCTAGGTAATGAACTGTGAGGGTAATTATAATAAATATATAAAGTCTATCAACGAATTTGATAAAAGCGTCTGCCGCAGCTTATTGATGCCAAAAAATCGTAAAAACAATATAGCTATTAACTGTTTTTCCTGGTATTTTTTTCAACTACCTAGGTTAACTGAGTATTAACAAGATTAAGCTGAAATTAAAATAAAGAGACTGCCCTCTGCCCTCCGTAAACTGCTTATAGATATATCACATTCGCAACTCTATCGTCAGATAACTAAAGTAAATCTTTAATACATTTTAATATGTATTTAGTTTTCGAATCGTCTCTGATGCATAGTACAGATACAAATAGAAATCCTACATAAGTTGCACAAAGATATAAAGAATCTTATTTATCTTAGTGTCAGTCACATGACACCTTTGCGTCACCGCTGCTCCTGTGGTGGGTGGGATACAAAGCATATGTTTGTGGTTGTTTGTAATTAAAGTCAAATAAAATAAGTAGTAAAATATCTACGACTAGTTTTTACCCATTTTGTATATTGTATGTTACTGACAATGTGGAAAATGCGGTATTCTAGGGTTGCCAACCGTATTCTAAAATAGAGTATTGTCCTCTATATTATGTAGGTATACTCTATAAAACCTTTTTTAAATCACAAAATAAATGATACTCTTTTCTTGTAAGTCCGTACTCTTTGTTCACTTACTTTAAAATCAGATATACTCTATTTCTTCCAAAAAGTCCAATCCTACTATACCCTAGGTATATACTTATTTTTATTAATCTTATTAAGCCTCTACACTCCATAAGGAATATCGACATAAACGCTTAGCTTTTTTTTATTTAATATTTATGTAATAAAAGCTTAAAGGTACTGTTACTCATTCTAATTTGAAGCTCAAAAGTATGCTTCAATTGAGCACTTATCACTTAGTAGCATGTGTGTCAGAATGTTGCTCAATATTAGCTCGCTCGTTTCAGCCATGTTTGCGAATCGACAGGCGTTCGATTTTTGAACATTTTTTTTAAGGATGCTCAATTGCTCAATAGAAAGATTTTTAGTATGCTATTTTTGACTGTCTAACAGTACTTGTAGTTTCAGCTGAACGTTTTCACTGACTCCATTAAGGTTCAGTCTTTAGTCACGGCGCATCGCGCAAGCGGTATCCGCCTCGTACGAGTCAAATACTCTACATGTTTGAACATGTCCAAACTGTGGCACATGATTCGGCGAGTATTCTAAAAAGTCAGGAGTCAGCCTAACTGCTACGCCCGCAGTACTCAAATTAACAGGAATACCTACATTTAAACCTTCGTCCAAAATAAAATAAGTATTTACAATAATATACTAGGTTATTATGTAGTAGTAGCAAAGGAAATATGGAAATTCTAACGCTACGTAGCTTAGATTTGTACTGTAATATCAGTTTCAATTGTGATAGATGGCATTAGATAAATCATACCGCGGTAAACTAGTTAGTTTTGGTAGCAACTGGTGCGATAAAATGCGATGTGGATAAAATGTTAGATCTTCAAATTCATTCTAAGAAACAATTTCTTTAATAATTATTCTATCTACTACATACATACATAGATACATAACTTCAAGCCTGTCTCCCATGGGGTAGGCAGAGACTGTAAAACGCGAATTACTACGATTCCTACATACCTTTTTCGCTTCCTCAACAGTCATAAATTTTTTCATGCATGCTCGTCCGTTAAGGGTACTTTTAATTTGGCACTTCAGGGTACTTTTAATTTGGCTCTTCTTTAATATATCGCCAATCTAGTCAGTATTATGTCCGTCTAGGGCGCCCTCTACCGACGGCCCCATGCATATCCGCTCTGTATACTTCTTTCGTTACTCTACTTTCATCCATCGTTTCTACATGTCCAAACCAGTGTAATATACCCTTTTCAATCCTTGTCACTACATTATCACTACGTTAAAAGCTACTGACTTCAAAAGCCTGTATTTTTGAAGTCGGTTAATTAATATACTAAAACCTTCACCTAAGTGAGTAACAAATACTTTTCTGAAAACCGCATCAAAATCGGTTCAACCAATTGCGAGATATTTGCGCACAAAAATACATACATACGTTTCCCTCTTCCTTTTTTTGAAGTCGGTTAAAAACTACCACTTTTATGTGGTTTATGTGATCTTAAGCTGATCTGTCTGCTCGTTTACCACCGATTTCATAAAGAACATGTTTAGAATAAATAACTTTAAAACAATGAGGTTAGGTTTAGACACATATGAAGTAACTACAACGTTGTAAGTGCTTATTTATGAATCCATGTAGCCAGACTACGAATTTTATACCACTTATGAAAACATGATTGTGACTCTTTTTCAGTGGAAACAAACATATGTAAACGTCATCTCCTGAAAAATGAGTTATACCTTTTCTGACGGTAATTACACATGATTAAGGTATACAATATCAAAGATATAAATAAATGGACCGTCTGCTTAAACAAAAACGCTTTCCCGGTAAATCTATCTTAAATTATTATTAACATGATAATTATTTAGTATGTCTCACGAAAGTTATAATATAAATCTATCTTGATCAATTAATTAAATGAAAATCTACAGCATGAAAAATTAAAATGGCAATGCAAGGAAAATCCTGAAAGCCGTATAATGTGCAGAAACCAAATGAAAATTGATGTCTCTACGTCGATCCCCCCATTAAATCAATTTCCCGCGTTATCAGCGGCGCCGTTGCACACCTTGCGTCACACGCTCGGTGGTGGGGATACGAAATTATCGACTTATATACGTGAACGGCGCGCGCGCCGGCCATACGGTCAGTGAACGTGCGTAGAGCGTGTTTGTTCATAAAAGATGTGTAATATGTGTACCCGTGACGTGAGAGAATCGGCCCCGGCACCGGTGGCGCCGGCGCACGCACCCTCGCGTGCCTTAGACAGAATGAAGAAGAAGCACAATATTGTGACTGATCCCCACTGTTCGGAGAAACAGAAGGAGGTGGAGTACCAGCCAGACCTCCTGGCTGTGTCCACCAAGTACACCAAGATCTGCTACGACCACTTCAAGCAGGCCCTCGTTCGGGTGCAAGAGACGAAAGCATACGTGTGAGTACGGACTTTCTTTTTTGCGAGGTTATGTTGGTAGCATTCTCTTGTAGAAAATACCTGGCAGTCGAAACAGTGACAAACAAATTCGTTATTAGTTCAGTCCCACGTGAAGAGTCTAAAAATTTTCAGTCTAGATCAAAGTTTTCAGCGTGTGAAAAATGATTACGTATAGACGTTGGTTTGTGCCGGACGCAGCAAGCCGCGAATGGCGACCGTCGCGTCCGCATAATTTTCTAAATACTCCAAATTTTTTTAACTTCCTGTTTTAATATTTGCGACTATCAAGATAAATAAAAATATAAGTCACAAATAACGAGGCTTGCTACGCGAATACTTTGTAGACAACTTCACAAAGCCGCATTTGAAATTGAATCTTGAATGGACGCCGATCTCCTTATCTAAATTAGCAATTTCACTTGACGAGAGTTGTCGAGGCTGTTCATTCTATGGAAGCATGGCCCTGCGACACTAAGCTCCGTTATCAGCAGAACTCGTGATGCATGTCACAAAGGCTTTAAGATCAACACGTTCTACTTAATCTCAAGTATCGTGATCGGTACAAAGTCCCTATAGGTTTTATTAAACAATGTACCAACTACTCACAAAGCCATGTAATGTTTATAGTAGTAGTAATGCTTATCGATGCGTAATTAACACATACATATCTCTTTTGAATATCGGTCACCGTTCTTCACTTTCACTACAAATAAAACTATGAATAACAATAAATGACTGCTTCCATACGCAAACAGACAGACACGAGTTTGTGTAGTGACAAAGCCCCGAATTATTTCAATTTATTCCAACAGTTAGACAACGTTTACTATATAACTGAATTGCGAAAACCTCGAGACAATCAACTAAACCACAAATAGAATAGAAGGTAATCAGCTTCGTCAATGTTAACAAAAATTCTTTATAGGACATAGTAATTGCTTAAGTAAGAAATTAACATACCATAGGGAAGATTGATACAGTTTTTTAATCTATGAAATAAAATAACTGCGCCATTTAGTTATAAAAAATAAAACTGTCAATCAAACGATATGACTAAACTATCAGTTTAGATTTTTACGATAACTAACTTACATGTCGTGATAACTGTAGCAGATAATACGTATTTACTGCAAAAACTTCCTAGATTTACTATCAGTACCTACATTTGAAGTACAAGTAAAAGTAACAATACAGACCAGACATAGACTACAAGATGGCTGACCAATAATTTGGCGTTTCAAAGACTGCTTCGTATCATTTTTTTAAATATAAATTGAAAATCATATCTCTTAATAAGATTTAAATTATATGCATCGTACCTGACGATAATAATAGTGATTTTATCAGGCTAAAGACTCCAAAGAAAGCATTGTAATGATTGCAATTAAAATGAGATACTGCAAACAAAAAACTTAGTAATATAATAATAATAATTTCGAGGTGAACACACTATTGAATAAATATAGAAGTTTTAGCGGTAGTTTCAGAAGTGTTAATTAGGTCATAAGTGATAAAATAAACCCTATGATTTACATAATAATTATACAGAAACAATCGTCATGAAATAAATCACGTCATCACTATTGCCCCTGTCTAAACATATTATATGCATAAAAATATCACGTATGTATTTTTGATTGTGACAAGATTTTACGTCTACCTATATCCATCATCCATGCCGTCTTCCAAACAATGCCAAATGTCCAAATACTTAGAAACTAATCTTTATCGTGTATGAAAGTAAAAATATTAGTTATATGAGTATGGGATTACAAACAATGAGCATGTTGATACTTAGGACACTAGTCTACACACGTGTACAATCTAGACATCCTAAAACACGTCCATCTTGATGACCTAACAAGGAGATGCTTTGTAATCCACGTGTAACCCCATACTTATCGAAGAACTAGTCTTTAATTCAGATACCCAGTTGGGTGCCAATTAATTAAAAAGATTATAGATTAAATTGATATAATTAATATTTTATTGTACTAGTAACATTTGGACGAAGCCTTGTTGCGCTGTTTCTTAATTCTCAATGAAGGCTTTTACAATTCTTCTATCTTATTAAATGCAATGAAAAATGTGCTTAAAAGTACAAAATAATCAACATAGAAGCTTCTTAGTTTAACTTCAGCTTGTTCTAATAGCAATAAAGGATATTTTCGCAATCTTTCAATTGCCAGAATAATTCCCAAGTTGTTTGAGAAAGTACTATAGGTTTCGAATAGAATGGATCTAGATATCTAGCCTAAACCGAGGTCAGACTGTCTGTGTGTCACGGATATTGTTAATAGGGCTGCGGTAGAAATATACAAAAATAGATTATGACGATAGTTAGATTACATTTTTTTTAAGGTGAAGGAATATGCACGAGAAGTCTGATACCATTATGATATTTAAAAGGGTTTAACTTTCTACGGATTTGTAAGAAATTTATTATAAAGTAACATGATTATGTAGATTTTAATCTGTAACTACCATTACTTATCATTTGCTTCCTTTACTTTAAATTTAACCTTATCTAAACCCTTTTAAGAGTTAAAAAAATTGAGCATTTTTTGTAGATTACAATCTTAGTTTTACTTTAGGTACGAATGTTCTAATTTTAGTCACTTTTTGCCTTGAAACTAACAATGCTCATGGATTAGCATAAAAATGGAAACTACTAATCATGTTTGTTTTACATTAATTATTTTTAATTAATGTTAAAACATAATAAACTACAATTCACTTCCGTACGCTTTTCCTATTTCTTTTTTTACAACATGTTTTTAAATATGGCGATAGGTACTATAGAATTAACTTTTATCTACGATACACCAATAGTTTAAAAACATTAAGCCAATGTACAATAGAGTTGTATAACTTATAACATATCTTATATTTTCAGAACAGAATATTCTAGCGTCCCTACAATACAATACTACACATTCAATTGTATAGGAATGTAACTGCATGATGCAACTTCGATTCATAGCCCACATAGCGACAATAGACGTTAAATAATATAAGTGATAGCCACATATAGGCCACTTATTAGTGTCAATATGTTTTAACATCGACCTTCGATCATGATATATGTCACAACGAAATATACATTTGCGGATGAACAATCTACTAACTTATTATGATAACAGCAACAAAGAGTTTCACAACAAAATAGCATTGCATTTAGGAGAAAATACTTCGTAAAATGACGTTTAGTTGATGTGAAAAATCTAATAGTACACGTAAACGGTGATAACTCGAAAATATTTTAACCAAATAAATAGTTATGGATAAGTAATAATAATCAATCTGTTGACAAAATGACGCGACAATGTCAAATAGAAGAAACTATGTAATAACAAGTAAAGTAAACAATTTATACTATTAACGGCATAAACAGGAAAACAAAACAAAGTGTTCCGGCCGGTGATAACACGGAAGAAACTGTTGGACTGTGACCAGAGCATAAACGAGGTCAGCACATGTCACGAAACTAGTTTAGTTAATAAAACAGTACTAGGAATAACACAAAAATAGGGTACCTTTCGCCTAAACAGAAGATAGCGTTACGTTAGGAATGCCTGCCAAATAACTCATAGATTCATATTCTGTTTTCAACGCAACAAATAAAGGAAAATAACCCATTTAAAACTCATAAAATTTTCCACTAAACCTTCTCATTTATTGCAAAAATCGTTAAATCAAAAATAGTCAGCACAATCAGAATCGACTAGAAGTTATTATAGTGAGTTTTATGCGTTCAGCAGCCTCTTTTTCAAGAGCTACGGGCGATGAAATCGATCTCAAAACATCGTGTACGTGTAGATACGTGTCGACAGGCACGTAACTGTCCACTGCTGTTTATACCCCTCGTGATCTTGTTATTGCAACCTGCAGACTTACTGCTTTAACACGACAAAGAAAATTCACCTCTATCACTCTTACAATAAGCACGACATAAAAGGCATTGTTCATTTGCCACCGCCCACTGAATAGGGGCGCGTGCCTTCAGTTCCCACGGTTCTCTAACAATAGGAAGTTATGAAATATTTCAATACCTGAAAACGTGGTGTTTCGATTCACAAATTGATTACTTTACGGCTCAAAATAGGGAAAAAGTGATCAAAACAAATAAAAAATAACTTATCAGTTTACAAAGTTCTAATTTTCAGTGGAAATAAAATTATATTAGCAGTCATAAACGCGTGTTTGTTTATGAGAAATCTGCGGAACCCGAGCGTCATTATGCCACTTAGCAATACTACTGGTGCTAAATATAGACACGCTGAATCATAAACTGTTAAAAGATAAAGTTATAAATAGATTCACGTTTGTGACTCAACATTAAAAAATTAATTGGAAAGTACCTACGTACTTAAGATTACTGTTATCTTTACGAGACATTATGTTCATAGAATATTAAATTAATCATAATATAACGTCAAACTAGGAAAACTAATTAGATTAATCCTTTTTTAAAAATACAATGAAATTATGGTAATAAACTTAGCTGTTGCTTGCATACGCGTAATATGATCGACGCTTACAATAACGTAGGTAAGCACTAAAGAAAGGTTTAAATTATGTCAAAAGCCCGTGTCTTCTATGACGTAATAACAGACATTGCATAATTACAAATAATTAAACAATTATGTGCTAAGTTTTTACAATACTTTGTAGTACTTAAATCACATGACTGGGAAAGAAATGATATGTATCTATGACGTATAAAAAAAATGTTTCTCATCTTAGTACTTCAACGGGTAGGACTTAAGATCTAGATAACTTAGTAACTAAGCCTAACTGATCTTATCGACAAATGATACTGACATTTTGTCTTTGATTGTCCTTTAATCTGTCAAACACCAAGCGGTCACCGGTGACCGCTTGGTGTTTGACAGTTTAAACGGAAAACCTTTGGAACATTTAAGCACAACAATTGATTATTAAAAGAAGACATGTAGGAAAAAGAAAATATTTATTTTACAATACGTCGATAAAATATT